GACCTCCAGTGGCTTGCTGAAGCCTTCGATGGGGGAAGGACTGACCAGGGGGTGGGGGGAGGTGGTGCGGGTTCTGAAAAGCGAGTCGCCTAGACCAGCCGTTGGCATATGAGGAGGCTGGGGGTTGGGAGGGTCTCGCGATTGGCTCGTGCGTAGCATTTGCTGCCTCACGGCTCGTTTGCGCTGCAGGTTTGCGGATTTGCATGCCGAAGTGTTCGGCACTTCGTTAGCTCCAGTTCTAGCCTTAGCTCTAAATGTAGTCCGACAGCTATCTAGCTGTTTAGCTCGCGCGGAGCACAACACGCGTTTAGCTTTGGCAGCGGCTTCTCTCTTAGCGCCTTAGACTCAGCGCTGCTGGCCTCCTCCGTTCCTTCACGGGCCATGGCGATTTCCCCTGACGAGCAGACCAATCCCGATCCTGATTCCGTTCCCCCCGCTCCTCCCGCAGACATCCAACGGCTCGACTTGTCCAAGACATGCTCACATGTCCTGAGGTCGAGAAGCAAAATGACGACGGCTGGCTGGGCACAGTTTCGGCCTCCAGGTGTATCAGGATGCCCGTACCAGGCGCCCAGAACCGGTCCCAGGAAGGGGTCGGGGTCACTGGGGATCCACGTTGTGACAAGATACTTGGGATCCCTTGATAATCGACCCCCCCTAAGAAAACCCGGCCCCCCCTTCCTTCGCGACGATTACCCAGGGATCCAGAGCAGCGACGTCGGAGGTCTGGGTGACCCTCGGCTTTCTCGACCCCCTTCCGGCTGTTCATCCTGTGGTCATTTTCTCACGGTCACGGGGCCCGAAAGCAGACCTCGAAATGCAGAAATGACGAAAACATTGTTGTTGCTATTTTGCCGAGCCGCTCGTTGTTGTTCGCGTCCTCTCCCCTCATCCTCCTTTTCCTTTTTCTCCTGTTCCTCCTCCTCCTCCTCCTCCTTCTCCTCCTCCTCCTCCTCCTCCTCCTTCCCTCTTCCTCCTCCTCCTGCCCTCTCCTCCTCTTCCTCCTCCTCCTCCTCCATATCCACTTTGGTTCAAGAAATTCAGGTTCACGGTAGACCATTGTCTCGAGGTGGTTCAGTGACTTGCACCTCGGGAAAGGCACGGGTGCCTGCCCAGGCAGCCTCCCGTGGATTTCTTGTCTCCTGAATCTCCATTCGCACTCACATCCAACACTCCAGTAGCCGTCGGGACGCCAGTACGTTGCGCCAAGGGCGCGTGCACCGTACCTCTTTTGAGGCGACGTCTTCTCTCCAAGGCCTGCCATGGACCTGCCCAACGGTGCCACTGGCGACCGTCTGGCTGCGCAGGTCGAGGCTGTGCCCGCCTTCCCGTCGCAAGAGCTGACTGCTGGCCCCGCTGCTGGTGCTGGCAGTGGCTCCGCCCCTTGTCGCGTTTCCGCACTCCTGCCGCCGCTCAAGAAGCGTCCTGCACGCCCCCTTTTCCATTCTCGGGGTGCCCCTGATGATCCTGCCGGTGATGACATGGAAGGAGATGATGGGTACATTATGAGGCGTTCGTCGTCGTCCTCCTCCTTCTCCTCCTACTCCTCCTCCTCCTGCTCCTCCTACTCCTCCCATGCAACACGTCAAATTGTTTCAAACGCGTGTGCTGTAGTAGGCGCCTCGGCGCCCACTCCGCCGCGCCTTCATGGCGCTACGCGCGCGGAGCCGTAGCCGTAGCCGTAGCCGTATGAGGAGTTCGTCCGCCACTTGTGCCGCGAAGAATTCGGCTCCCTCAAGGTCGCGATCGCCTCCGAACTGGGCGCCCCCCGCGGGGGTCTGCCGCCGCCCCCAGCAGCGAGAGTGTGATCGCCGCGCTGGACACCCTTCGCCAGGAATTCATTGTTCGGTCGGATGGTTTCGCCGAGCAGTTCAATCATATTGCACGTCCGCAGCTGGACGACGTCCAGAGTAGATTTCAGGCCAAATTGGATGCATCTACGGCTCCTTCGAGCGGTGCCCACCTGCGCCTCGACAAGCACGGCCAAGGGATGGACGACTTGCGCCCGCAGTTGGCGCAGTTCCGTCGCGAGTTTTCCGTCGCCGAGGAGCGCCCGCGTCAGCCGCTGGCGATCCCCGGCGGTTTCGACAGGGACATCGACTCCACGGTGGCTGTGGCGGTCGCCCAGCGTGTCACCTCGCTCGAGCGTGTACGGGGCGCTGCGCTCGTGGGTCCTCGCCCACGGCCAGGCAGGGCATAAGTTCAAGATCGAGGCTAGGGGCGCCGTCCCGTGTAAGCGTTTCGAGATCAAGTTGGTTGGTCCATCTGGCGCTGCCCCGCGGAAAGCCAGGCGCGTGCTCGCCGCCCCCGAGGACGGCGAAGACATGGAAGGGTTTCTGGATCACCCCACCTGGGGCTGAGCGCTGCGGGATCCATCCCGGCCCTGACAAGAGCCCGTAGCAGATCAAGCAGGATATTGTGTTGCGCAAGGCCAGGAAGCTCGTGGAGGCGGCGCACCCAGGGAAAATA